GGAGAAAGGTGACCCCTCCTTGAGTCTTTTATAAACAAACCAGCCAGCACAAAAGAGAACAAGCTATTTGGCCTCGAACTATCAGGTCTTAGCATCTTAAATTCAGAGAAATGTGAAAAACATGCCCACAGAGTGTGATTACTGCAAGATAATTATAAAAAAAAAGGGATTTGAGAACTGGAACAGTATGTTAGACTGTCAAAACAAGACTGGAAAGGAGAAGTGTCACGATCTGCATCACATCTAAAACAGGTTTAATGGGAGCATCTCAGTTCAAATCAATTAATCAATTAACAAAACTTAGTTATATTACTTTAATTCAGAGCTTAAACCATAACTGACAGGTCTGGTCTTACCACGTGGTGGGTCCGGTCTCTGGCGGGCTGGTATTTCGGCGCAGGGACACATTGCTCGGCGTGGCCGTTGCAGAAGCAGCTCCCTTTCACTATCAGGTCGTAGACGGCGAAGTGTCGAGCAGGACGGGCTTCCTGCGCGGAGGCGAGGTCTTTGGCCTGGCAGGGACACGGCTGATGCTTCAGTAACCGGATTCGGATGTTGGTCACCCTAAGCTGCTGCTGGCCCTCGAGCCCAAACGGATCCAGGGACTGCCACTTGGGGAGGGTTCTGTAAATCACCTGCAAGTCAGAGAGAGACAGAGAGATGAGCTGTTTTTACACTGTGTGCAATATAGTTCCCCAAAAACACAGACAAGCAACCAACAAACCAATTTAAGCTGTTTCCAGAGGCAAATGATCTATTTTTCAATCTGAGTTAACTTTAACATAAACTGCCTTTGCTCTAGTTTTATGTTGAAACAATATTATGGCATTCACACACCCCATTGACATCTAAAAATATATTAAGTGATCCACCAAAACAACTCCTCATGACAAATCGCTCTCATTTACTGCACGATTAGCTCTTGTCACTCACTCCTGCATTTGTATTAAAAATAACAGAGGTTAGGAGAATGCAGTTTGAAATAATGTGAGTTTATACCCTGTAATTACAAATTATATGTGTGTGTGTGTGTGTGTGTGTGTGTGTGTGTGTGTGTGTGTGTGTGTGTGTGTGTGT